TATTGATCTTTCACATTTTTAGGACTTTTCCCCTTAGCATTTTATTAGAAAAATGTTCAAATAGAGAAAAATGAAGCAAATCATACAATGAAGCTCCATACAACCACCCATTAGATATTATGAGAAATATTTTTGGTGCATTTTTTCATATAATTACCCATCTATCCATCTCTCTACTTCCTCATGATCATCTAACTTTAAAATACATGCTTCACAATGCACTAGATAATAGGAAGTCCTGATTTGTAGCATCTCTTGATTTCTGTAGCATAAAAAAGCCAACACTGGGGCTGGGGATTTAGCTCAGCAGCGTAAGCGCCTACCTTGCAAGCAGGCAGTCGTGAGTTCGATCCCTGGTACGGATAAAAACAAAAAAGACCAAAAAAAAAAGCCAACACCAAGCTACCAATGTTACCTCAGTGAGCACAGAGCTGGGAAAGGGGCCAACAGTCGGCTCTCATAGGCTGTGTGAGCCAGTCACACCGCCTTCTGTTGTCAAATGTTTTATCTTTCTTATTCCTTTTACATTCTTACTTTTACTGGTTAGTGCCTCAGTCAGAGACAGCAGAGTGTCTTGCATCACCTCTCCCCTTTGTGTACACTCCACCTTTACTACAGTCATCTGGGACCACTGAAAGTCCCCTTGTACGCTCAGCAACTCAAGCAGTTGGCAGGCTCAGCCCCTCCCAGGAGCAATAAACCCAACTTCAAAGAGCACTTAGGAGGACTACCAGGAAGGGATCCTCTTAGAGAAAAGCGAAAGGTGTAGCAAGGAGAAAATACTCCCTCCTTTTGGCCTTTTTTTTTTTTTAATTTAGCTTTCTTTAATTTAGCTTTAAAAAATGTTTTATTGCTGTATGTTTGCAATCTATGAGTACATTCATCACGTTGAATTTGATTTTTCCCTTTCTCTACTCTTTCTGTATTTTGCTTTTGAAGGAATGTTGGAGAGCCAGGTGCTCACATCTAATTTCTGGAAGATATCTCTGTTCCTAGAAAAAACAAATTAGGGGGTGGGGATTTAGCTCAGCAGTATAAGCGCCTGCCTTGCAAGCAGGTAGTCATGAGTTTCATCCCTGGTACCGATGAAAAGGAAAGAGACAAAAAAAAAAAAAACAAATTAAACTACATCTTTCCTTCCTATATCTTGAGTGTTTATGTTTATGAAACTCAAAAGGGAAGGGAAAATTACCTGCAAATGGGCTACTAAACAGTACTGGGCTTGTAAACAGGGAAAAATGAGGCATCACTACCTCAAATGGGATCCTTTTTCTCACTCATAATGGTGGAATGGATAAGAAGTTTGTACACCAACTGAACAGTGAAGAAAAATTTTATCTTTAGCCAAGAATAGAAGTGGGAGGTAAACTTGCATATGAACTTCAGCAGGCCACATGGTTTCAGAGACTTTGTATATGGAAACAAGACACCTCCCAGACCCTAAATGAATACCCACCTCTCCTGGCATGGTGTCACTTCTAAGGTTACTTCTGAGCCCTCTAGAATTTTCATTGTTGTCACCCTCAAGTCTTTGTTCTGCTGGGGCAAAATGGACCTACCAAAGGTGAGGTGGTTGCTTATTTGTTTGTTTTGTGGTACTAGGGATTGAACCCAAAGTCTTCACACTAAACTATGTCACCCAGCCTTTTTTTTTTTTTTTTTTACTTTTTACTTTCTGACAGGTTCTCGCTAAGTTGCTAAATTGCCCAAACTGGGCTTGAATTTGCAGTCTTTCTGCTTCATCCTCCCAAGGACTGGGATTACAAGTGGGTGCTGTCATTCCTGGCATGAAGTCTTATAAAGTAGCTAATCTGCGGTGCTCAGTAGTACTACCCTGTTGATCTGAGCAATAAGAATTAGAAGCAGGATAATAAGCAGCAGAAAGTAAAATTACACTTAGGATGACCATAAGAAGTGCTTTTCAAATACACATTTCAGTTGGAGTTAAGGACATCTCAACAATTAGAAATAGTCTCTTTCTAACAAAGAATTAAGATCAAGTTGAGTTTGAGTCTGAAGTCAGTCAGCTATTAGAAAAAGAGCAAACTACTGGTCAGCATTACTCTACCTAAAACATACCCAGGTACACAGTAGGTAGTCAATTAATTCATGGTGAAAAATGAGTCCGTTTTTAAAAGATTTTCCTTTGGTCTTTATTTTTCTTCAGAATGTCAGTTACTTATTGCTGCATAATAAGATTCTAAAATTTAATGGTCTAAGATAATGGCCTCAGAAGGTCCCTCAGAGAGGAGATGGGAACCTCAACTCGCTTAGGGAATAGGTTCTTTATTTACCACAGAAAAAAACTTTGGGATATGTCAGGGTCAGACATAGGCCTACTGTATTTGGTAGTGTTAGGGGTAAGAACTTCAGCTTGACAAGCTGAGCAGGTACGGCTCTCACAAGGAGGATCAGACTGCCAAGCATCTAGGATCTGCTGTGTTTGTGTGTGTGTGTGTGTGTGTGTGTGTGTGTGTGTGTGTGTGTGTGTTTTGTTTTTTTCTAGCTGTTAATAATGAGTCTGGGAAAAGGCTTTTGATCTTAAGCTGGTCTCTGTGATTATCACTGCTCAGGGCTGTCTCAGTTTTGTGGAATCTTTTCTGGAATTCAAGGTGACTATAGGTTTGGACCATGACTGGAGACTTCTGGACACTAACTGGTAGCTGCATATCTCTTATTTTGAATGTCTTGTACTCTCTTAGAAGGGGGTAAGATGACTTCTGTAAATTCAGTGTTAGTTAACTTTGTATCAACAGTTTTTAGACAAATGTTTCCTAAATGATGAACATGTCTTTGTGCAGGGCTGAGGAGGGATCTAACCCAAAGGTTTAAGGTAACAAAGTGAATTGATACACAATGAAGGTCACGCTTTTTCCTGCCTTTTAGGTATCCGGAGGCACAAGTGGAAAGTCCCTAGGTTTTTTTTTTTTTTTTTTTTTTAATTAAAAATGACTTTTAAGTTCTTGACTGAAAAAGAAAACATAAACCATGCTTTTGATGAACAACAGATTAAGGAGTTGTCCTCTGTACTTTGTGGGCTATGTCTGGGTTAAGACAGGACATTAAGCTTCTCTCAGTTGGCCTCCAAGCATCTGCTGTCAGCTGGTGGAGTGATTGAGGGGGTGCCCCAGCCACATGCTCATGCAATTTGTGCTACAGCGCTATCACCCGAAAAAACATGGGTCCAAGGTTCGAAATGCTGTTTGGCCCAGGGATTAAGCCAGGAAAAGAAATAAGAAAAATATCAGAAACACAATGAGTTTTTACCCGTGACAATAGGATTTATGAGTTCCTGGGGTCATCAGAAAATTTTTTTCTCCTTAGACAGACTACTGCTGAGGAACACTTGTAGTATAGAATACTTCAGCAAAGGCCTGGGCTAACTTCATTCAGGGAACAGATGTTCTGTTCTCTGGTGTTACTGTTTCCTGATGTTTGATTGACACCTTCATTTTATTTCCCCACTATTGTTTGTTTTATTAGTGCTTCCCCTCCCCCCAGAGGTTCTTAGTCAATGCTGCCTGAAAAATCAAATAAATATCTGTCTGCTGAGTTTCTTTTGGCTGAGGGTTTTATTTTTGTTTTTTATCTTTAGAGACGTTTCTAGTAGGTTGCAAGTGGCTAATCTGGTAAACTCCTCCTGGTCAGGATCCTGGCTGGTGACCCAAGTAGCTTAAGGTTCTACAGCTATACGCTGCAGGAACCATATTGTTCTACGTTTGCCTTTATCCTGAGGCCTGCAGTCGGAGGCCATACCGGACTGTTTCAGAAACAGTGGCAACTGTTAGAGGTAATACTGTGCTTTCTGTATTTTGGCTCCACCTGTACTTCTTACAGAACGGTATCCAGATCTTTACCCAACAGCTGGACTTGGAGATCACTCTGTGGATTTTGTCTTTAGATACTTCTCTCTGCATCTTATGGAAAGTCTCCTTGTGGGAAAAACAAAAGCCACAAAATGCTTCCAATACCTTCTGTAAATAAGGTACACCAAAAACGTCAGGTGGCTTTTTAAATCTCCATTTCACGGGTGCGGTGTTGCATCCAATAATCTTAGCACTCTGGGAGGCCAAGGTAGAAAGACCATGAGTTTGAGGCCAGCCAGCCTACACAGTGAGACGTTGTCTTGCAAAATAAAACCAAAAATATCTACTTTTCCTGCCTGCAACCGTTCGTGGTAACTGTTACAACATCCCAGTAAAACCACTGGGTAGACTCGTGGAGGTCTGGCAAGACCTTGGAACCCACCGGGTGGAGGAAAACCAAAGGCGGGGCCCACTGCGTGCTGCTAGGCTGCAAGCGGCTAGTCTGGTAAACTCCTCCTGGTCAGGCCCGGCTGGTTACCCAAGTGGGTTAGAGCTCCACAGGCCACCCAGCCCTCCTCCCCGGTGCAGACAATGGCTCAGCCCGATCACTGAAGTCCAGCCCTGATCCTAACGGAGAAGGCAAGGTAGCCACGCCAGTCCCGTCAACCCCGAGGCCTCAGCTAGGGGACGCCGCAGGCGAGGTTACGAGAGCACGTAAGAGAAGGGCGCACGAGCTCTGGAAATCGCGAAGTTGGAGAAGCCTAGCGGGCTGTAACACCGCGACCTGCATCCCCAAGACCGATGCGACCTGCGCGAGTGCGCAGGCCAAACTAGAGCCTGCACAGACCTCCAAGGAGCTCCACCAGCAAACTAGCGATGCGGCCGCCCCGCCCACTGCCCCTTCCCCCGGCCCCGCCCTCCAGGCCCGCCCCGCCCACTGCCCCTTCCCCTCCAGGCCCCGCCCACCAGGCCCGCCCCGCCCCGGGGCCTCCGGGTAAGAGGCGGGGTGAGCAGGGCAAGAGCTGCGGGTGGCTCAGGTCCAGGTGGGCGGAAATGCGGGAGAGGGGCGGGGCTCAATCGCGGCTCAACCGCGGGGGCGGGGCACGCAGCCGGGGGCGTGCCGGGGGCGGGGCGAGCGCGGAGCCCGGCCGGCCTGGAGCTGGACGGCGGGCGGCACTAGAGGGAGCTCCTCTGCGCCCGGCCCGCTCGCCCGTCGCTCTGAGCGCCGCCTCTCAGCCGCGCCGCCGCGATGGCGGAGGACAGCGAGTCTGCGGCCAGCCAGCAGAGCCTGGAGCTGGACGACCAGGACACGTGCGGGATAGACGGCGACAATGAGGAGGAGACGGAGCACGCCAAGGGGTAGGCGGCTGCGCGGGCACCGGCGGACTGACAGGGTGGCGCGCGCGTGGGCTCAGCGCGCCCAGGCTCTGGAGCGGGGCCGCGGCCGCTCGGGCCCGCTCCCTTCCCGCCGTCTTTCTGTGCGGCGCAGTCTGGCCCCAGGCAGGAGGAGGGTGGGCTGGGCAGCTGTCCCCGGAGCTGTCACCTGCAGCGTCCCCACTGCCGGCCTCGCCCACCCTGCCGGGCCCGGCCGTCCGTGGGCGCGGGGCCTCGCCGCGTGTGCTCGAGACCGTTCTCTGTGAGCGCAGGTCGCCCTCGGCCCGTGGCCAGTTGCTCAGGTTCCTCGGGCTCTTCAGGGCCCCCCGCCACCCGCTGCCCGGCGGGCGCTGACATCTGGGAGCGACCGCAGAGCGCCGTGGGGCCGCACCCGCCGCCCTGGCCGCCGACGCTGTTCAACGCTCGTCCGATTACTCTTCCTCCGCGCTTGCCCTCCTTTCTGCCCATGAAGACTTCCTTTGCCTTTCTGTTAGAGAAAAGAGTGCTTCTGGTTAAGGCTGCTATTGAAGTTTTCTTTCAAGAGGCAAGGGGAGGTCATTTAAAATAAAGACCAGTGTACTTTCAGAGGTGCCGCTTTGCATCACCCTTTGGCCCTGTTGGATTCTAACTACATACTGGCAGCGAGCAGTTATTATTGCCCCCTTAGAAGTGAGATTTTGCGAACCCTGATGACTGTAGAAGTGGGTCAGCCTAAAAACAGATGAGGCCTGAGTCACACAGATGGCTCGTTTATTCAGTTCATGGGGAGATTCTTCCAGTGATCGTTGATTGAGAATGTAACGTGATGGCATTCTATTTTAGGTCACTTTCAGATTTATTTAAGAAAGAAATCTTTACTGACCTTTATTGCGTTTTAAAATGGTAAATGACAGGTTAAGAAAAAGAAAAGCTGACTACACATCTCTCCCATTGAAAAGTTGTTTAAAAAAAAGATTTGCAATGAACATTTCAGTGGCAGCTGCAAGTGCTGAGTGTTATTCAAGTCTAGATTTTTTTAAAGAGGAAGATAAATTGTACAGAAACTCAAGCCTGAGTTTCTTCATGCAGTGACAGAAACTAGCCTGTGGTAACAAAATATAAATATGTTTTTGAAACAAAAATCTGTTGTTAGAAATAGGCCTATAGTAAATGCAAGCAGGTGGATTTCTGAAATAAGTTCAGCACCTGTGTATTATCTTTCTGGGAGATCATAGACTTCCCTCTTCCCCCTTGCAATTTCTGCTTGTTGTTCTTTGATGTCCTAGGTTGAGGATTTGATTACAGCTTCTTTGATTACAGAGTACAGAATGTCTATGGTACAAAGAACTGCTCATCTGTGTAAGCATTGATTTGATTGAGATCATCCCCTGACACCTTGCTATAGGCTGTGTGAAGTTTTCAGAATAGTTTCCAGAGGCATCTCAGAACACTCTGCAGAAGTTTCCAGTTTTGTGCATCAGAAAATTAATTATGTTTTAGTACAGTTAATCAAAACTTAGAGATGCCCAGTGGGCTGAAGTATTTTAACCAAAAGCAGGTAACATGATAACAGTTTCTACTGGGGAAAGATTAATATAATGAACTTATTGTAGTCTGTTGAAATGTAAGGCGATTAGTAAGACTCCACGTTGCTGCTCTTGTTGGACTGCTTTTTTGGATTTGAACTTAGAGAATGCCAGATCTGGGCGAATGATTGTGTTTGATTTAGCTGGTGTTCCTATGCTGCTGTTCCATATAAACTTATATTGGTAAATGTTAAAATTTGTAAAACTCTTTTGTATACTTGACCTCTACATTGTCTTTCAGTTTAAAAAAGTAACAAATAATGAGCCTTTGGAGGAATGAGTAGGTGAATGCCTTCCTTCTAAAGAGGCAATCACTTTAAGGCTGTTAGACAGTATTCAGTGCGCAGAGCAGAGTGAGAGTCAGTAGTACTCTTGTGGCCTGAAACAATTAATTTACTCCTCCCATTCAGTGTAATGGTTGTTTTAATATATGGTATTGAGCTATCAGGCCTCAAAGGAAAAATTGAGATTCTTATTCTTGGAATATTCTTATTCAATTTTTTTTTGAGATTTTTATTCCGCACCAAAATGTAAATATCACTGTGTTTGCTTTTTTTTTTTTTTTTTTTTTTGGTAGAATTTTCTTTATGGACCACAAAAGGCATTTCATTTTATGAATAATGCTGAAAGCCCATGAATGAAACATATGTGAGTTATTTTGTGTTAAATAAAAAGCAATAGTGTTAAGTATCATAAAATACTTGAATCTTACTTCTTTATATCTTACCTTCATGATAAGGTGACCTTTAACTCTTTGGTCTACCCTAGTAAGGCAATGGTATACCACTATAAAAATGTCATGAGTTCTTAAAAAAAAAAAATGGAGAAGGGGTGAGATTACCAGCTTCAAACTAGCAAAATTGTAAAGATTAGCTTTATTATTTTTAAACAGTGAATGGCAGATTAGAACTAAGTTAATAGAGGATTAGATCCTTTTGATAACTTGCTTTAACCCATGATTTACAATTAGGAAAAAGTAAGTAGAGCCTAAAAACCTTCAAGCAAATTGAAAGTTCTAAGGTAATATTGTTTATAGGTTTCTTTCCATGCAGAGACTGTCTACATAAATAAAATTAGTCTCAGCATGCCTTTCCATGGGAACTATGAAAGAGTCCAGATGACTGAAGGTTTCTGTTCTGCTGTGGTGGCGGTGTTTACAGGCAGGAGAAGTTTACTGGGTTTGAGGTTAGGTAGTACTAATTTAAGTCCCTGGAGTAGATTGTACTTGAGGGTTAAGGCATTTTAAATTAAATTTTTTCTTAGAAATATTGAAGAGTAAGGAAAAAAGGATAAAATAAAGTGCGAATAGAAGGAAAAAGATGGAAACAAAGATTGTAAATGGAGAGGTGAGGAGGGGGTTAAACAGAGAGTAGGGGAATGGGAAAAAATTTATATCATGTACAGGTACAAGGTCTCTATGATGAATGTGATTGGTTCATGTGTCTAAAATGTATCAGTAAAATCTGATTGAAGAAAACATAAATATCAAAGACTTAGATTTGACTAAATTGAATACTTTGAAATTCTTTTCAACAAAGATCATAACCTCTTTTTAAAATTCTTTTAACATAAAATATAACCAGGTTAGGGAGAAAAATTGAAGTTACTCTCTGTGCAGTGTATTTTAGTGTATTTGACTTTATTGTTGAGCTTATCTATGGGAATGCGTCCTTAGCTGTATGGAATTATTATATACAGCTAAGTTAGGTAAAAAATATATGCAGTCAGGTAGAGCTGGGTCCTCAAGAGAGTTAGTACAAATGGTGAAAACATTACAGCTGTGGTCAGAGGCACATCTGTTGGAGCCTAGGCCTCAAAATAAAGAGTGACCAAGCCTACCTGCTTCCCAGAGAGATAAACAATAAATTAACATTGACATCAGTCACCCTGTTGGGTGCCCAGAACACCCTGGTTCATCTGTTCCTGAAAAGGTCCTTCTTCTTTCCATGTACACTTGCTATGTGACCTGCTTCTCTAGTAGATCAATTCAGCATTACCTAAATGCTGAATTTATAATCCTGTGGCTTGATCATAGTTTTGTCCCGTGTCATGATTTTGTACACAGCTTGTGATTTTGCTCACACCTCATCATTTTTGCTCTATAAAACTCATTCTGTAAAGTGGGGTCCACAACACCCATTTTTCGGGTCTCCTCTTTGGTCTCAAGAACTCTCTGTCTCAATAAATATTTCCTACTCTTAATCCCCATTGTTCCTTAAAATTCATTCTTTGATTTAAAAAAAAAAACACCAATTTGATATACCTAAAACATCTGAGTGTTGAGTGTTACATTTATTTCTCGATAACAGAATCAGTGAGAAAAATACACTCACTAAGGTTTCTCATCGTGAAAAAAATTTTAAGACATAACTCAAAGTTACCCTTTCTGAAATTTGATCTATTATCAACTGCGTAAATCTAAATGGAAATAATAACAACCCTTACCCAATGGACTTCCTCAGTTCACAGAATACAGTTATAAATGATTAAGTATCAGTTGAGGCTTGCATCTGATAAAATGATTTTACCTTGTGACCCAGACACTTTTCTAGAAGTTGAGTAAAATACAGAAAATTCAAAGTATAGAATATGTGCTCAGCCATCTCTATAAATTAGCTCCACTGTATAATTCTACAGAAATTGCTTTTAAAATTCAGTTCTTTTCCAAGTTCAACAAACAAGATTGACTGGTTTTTTATCAAATCACTTTCACTGAGTAAAATATGCTTATTAGAACTTCAAACAATCTGAGAGAGAAATTTCTTGTCATCCCATTTTCTAGAAATGCCAGTTAAATTAACAGTTGATGTCATATTTTATAGTTTTTTGTGTTATTAACATAAATAAGCTCATATAGCATTTTATATGGAAGGATTGTTGTTTGGAAGACTTCTGGGATAATACAAATGCCCAGTTTGGTAGTCACTAGTCTTATGGGGTTATTAAACATTTGAAATATGGCTGGTAGGACTGAGGAGCTGAATTTACTTTTTTTATTATTATTTTTTAGATAAAATCTCCCTAAAGGTAGCTCAGACTGGCATTGAACCCAAGATCTTCCTGCATCAGCTTCCCAAATTCTGGTAGTACAGACATAAACTACCACGCTTAGCTCTGAATGCTGTATTTTATTTTAATTAAATTTAGATGGTCCTTTGTGGCTGGTGGGTACAGTATTAAGACAGCTCATATCACATCCTGCCTTTGAATTTTGTTAAGTTTCATAGTACTCAAAATACTTCTTGTTTATAGTGGCACAGTTTGTTGGCACAAATCTTGGAAATAGCCCAAATGCCCATCAACTGATGAACCGACAAAGATGTGAATTTTAATACATGGAGTACTACTCTACCATAAAGAAGGCTAAGCTCAAGAGATTTCTAGGTAAATGGATGCTCCTTGAGGCCATACTCTCAAAAT